GTACAAGTAATAAGGAAGCCCCTTTAGAATCAAATAATTGAACGAAGAAACACATCCAAGGGTACTATCTTGATGAATTCCCCATAACTGCACAGGAAAGCAAGTAGAAAGGACGACTTAAATTCATTTCGAGGATAAAGCCGCAATCAAATAGCGGTTGTATTCGTTATGCCGTTATACTGCACCATCTTACGAATAAAAGAACAGAAAGGCCTCTGCTCTCTTATGAAATAAGTTGAAGGCATTAAAACGAGCTCATACGATTGAGGGCGATGAGAAACGAAAAAAATAGCACATGAGATATTAATTACTGGAAGCAGCAGGAAAATAAGGCTCACCGGCTGTGGTACAGATTCAGCACTCTCAGAAGCAGAGCAAGGCGGCAGGCAGGAGGCAGTGAAACCAATAGTAAATGCATTATTCGAAGAGTCTGGGAGATCTCCTGCTTTAGCCAAGTCTTCAATGGGAGAGAAGTTATCGGGAAGGCTGATCGGTAAGTGAGGTTCTAAGGGTGCAATAGGTGATAAAGATGAAGATGAACAAGAAAGCGAGAAGGATGGAAGCTGGCATGAAGGAACCAGAGAAACTGTGCTTGTATGGTCGGATACGATCTTCGAGATATTGGCGTCAGCATCAATCTGGCCTGATGAAATGGCTTCAAGCTGCGGAGGAGGGCAGCCCAGAGTCTGATTTACGGTTTCAGTATGTTGACAAGCTGTTTCAGGGGAAGTCGAGACAAGTACGAGTTTAGAATCGGCCAGATTGAGTGACTGGTCGGAGGATTTGAGAGGAATAGAGTAAGGCTCATTATGATCAGATAAATGAATTGGATCTGATATTTTTAAAGAGGATTTTGTCAGATTAGGTGGCTCAACTGGATCAAGATCAGTGGTCTGATGGCTGTGTTTCAGAGGAGATTGAACGCTGAGGACTGATTCTTCCGATGGCTTAACACCTAAAAAGTCAATAGGGAAAAAGAAATTAAGATTGATAAACAATGGAAGATAAATATCATATAATTAGTCCAAAAAAGAGTGTTTAGATTAATTTAAATATCCTGAATTGACCTAGTTGCTAGACAGGTGCAGCAGTATCTATCAGATAAGTGATATAAAAAAAACAAAAAAAGATAGCCTAAATAATTAGCTAGGTTGGTAAGAATATAGTTAAGACTTTCATTTCATATGAAAGTGCATGAAGAAGAGATTCGGAGGTCGATATCACCAGAAGAAGACGGCTGATTCCCGTTTGATTCAGCTGTTTGACTTTAATACGACGTTCTGGTTGACGCAATCCACGAGACATTCTCCCTCGTTTCAAATGAAAATGAGCTGAGCATTTGTCCATCATATGATAGACATCATCAGAGCAGGAACTCATTCTTGCAAAAATCTCAAAATAGCACCAGGTCAAAGAGACTTTCCGGTTATATCTGACTACTTATATATAATAGTAAGTAAAAAATGAAAATGGATAGACATAGATAGATATAGAATGGTTTGGCTAATTATTTTGGATATTGGCCATAATATTTTAAGTGTTGTGTGTGTGTGTGTGTGTTAACATTTATACATAATACAGGCCCTGAATCATAGGTTACAAAAGCCTAATGTCAGGTCTGAATCATCAAGGCTTAATGACCCAAGAAAAAACCCTAGCCAGACTACGTAAGTCCGTAAACAACTCTCGTTGTGATAAGAGATGCAAGCTTGTTAATCAGGTTACGAAACCAGCTGCCATGACCTCTCAGTCTAGAGCCATTAAGGTTTAACAACCCAAGGAAAGATATGGCTTGGGCTTCGTAACCTTTACGTCAGTTTTGGTTGATGAGTTTATTCTAGCGTGTTAGAATGTGTGCGTGAAGTTAGAACCATCACTGAGCTGACAAGTTGTCTCGCCTTCTTTTGGATAACGGCTCAACACCATCTTCCCTTAATCAGTAAATCAAGCATAAGTAGTTCTTACTCGAATTTTCATCACTGTTCATTACGTTCGACGTATTCCCTAATCTATTTGTTCCATTAGCTTCTATTATCTTCTGTTTAATAGCCGACGTACCATAAGCAACAAACCTAGTCGAGACCATTAGATCTCATGTCCAGTCTCTGCCATATATTAGGTTACTTCTGACTGTTGGGCCCAGCTGCTTTTACAAGAGGAAGGAAAGTCACCCAAACAATGATATCTTATGGTATTTATCGAAACTCAGTTACTCTTTGCATTTAAAAGTCTGTAATAATATCCTGTGAGTATTTTTCGATAACATTAATAGATCTTTAATAAGAGTTGTATTCACCCGAGGCCAAGTAAGATGATTAAGGAAGCTTTCCTATAATGATATGGAGAGGCCACATAACGCCACTAAATTTCGCTTAGCCGTGCAGCTCAAAAGGGGCTGAGGCTCCAGCTAGCGTGGATATCATCAGCACGCTCA